GGAGCAGAACAGGCTGACTGATGAAGTACACTGCTGAGGGGAGCAGCGGACGGGTTGGGAGAGGTCTGCTGCGCCATGTGGATCACCTTCAGGGCTGGGGATTGAACTCATGCTGAAGTGGCCTTAGCCCCTTAGTGCTGTGCTTTAACCTGCTGCACCACTAGGGAGGGCCCTTTAGCTTCATTTTTTTTGCATGTTGCAGCCCAGTTTTCCCAGCACCATTTGTTGAACAAACATTCTTTGTTCCATTGCTTATTCTTTGCTCCTTTGTCAAAAATTAGCTGTCCATAAACCTGTAGGTTTATATCTGGATTTTCTATTCAAATCCACTGGTCTGTATGTCTGTATTTTTGTTCCAGTACCATGCAGTTTTGATTATTAAGGCTTTGTAGTATAGCTTGAAGTCTGGGAGTATGATGCCTCTGTTCTCTTTTGTTTTAGTCAGGAGAGTTTTGGCTATTCGAGGTTTTTTGTGGTTCCATATAAATCTCATCAGTATTTGTTCTATTTCTTTGAAGAATGTTACTGAGCTTTTTATTGTAATAACATTAACTCTGTATATCACTTTTGGTAGAATGGCATTTTAATGATGTTAATTCTTCCATTCCATGAGCAGGGGATGTCTTTCCATTTCTTTGTGTCTTTTGTATTTCTTTTATCAGTGTTTTATAATTTTCTTTGTATAGGTCTTTTACCTCTTTTGTTTGGTTTATTCCCAAGTATTTGATTTTTTTTTAAAATTCAATTGTAAAGGGGATTTTTGTTTGTTTGTTTCCATGTCTTCTGATTGATTGTTGTATAGGAAGGCTACTGACTTTCGTGTGTTGACTTAATATCCTATTACCTTACTAAACTGGTTGATTGTCTTGATTAGTTTTTCTATGGAATTTTGAGGGTATCCATGTAAATTATCATATTGTGTGCAAATAAAGATAGGTTTACTACTTCTTTCCCTGTTTGGATTCCATGTATGTCTTTTCCCAGTCTTATTGCTCTGGCTATGACTTCCAGTATTATGTTGAAGAGCAATGGTGATAGTGCACATCGTTGTCTTGTTCCTGATCTTAAAGAAAAGGCTTTCAGCTTTTCTCCATTGAGGATAACATTGGCTGTGAGTTTGTCATATATGACTTATGATGTTGAGGTATGTTTCCTCTATTCCAAGGATTTTGAGGGTCTTAAACAAAAATGGGTATTGAACTTTGTTGAATGCCTTCTCTGTATTAATATGACTATATGGTTTTTATTTTTCTGTCAGTTGATGTGATGAATTACATTTATTGATTTTCAACAGTTGAACTAGCCTTGTGCTTCTGGAATAAAACAAACTTGGTTGTGGTGTATTATTCTTATAATGCATTGTTGGAATATGTTTGCTAAGATTTTATTGAGGATTTTTGCATCAGTGTTCATTAGGGACATTGGTCTGAAGTTTTCTTTTTCTCTGTTGTCTTTGTTAGGTCTTGGTATTAGTATGATGTTGGCTTTGTAGAAAGTATTTGATAGTTTTCCGTCTTTCTCGATTTTTTGAATGAGTTTGTGCAGAACAGGCACTAGTTCATTTCTGAATGTTTGGTAGGATTCATTTGTAAATCCATCTGGGCCTGGGATTTTATTCTTGTGGGGGATTTTATTCTTCAGTTTCACTGCTTGTAATTGGTCTGTTTAGTAGTTCTGTTTCTTCTTTATCTAGCTTTGGATGATTGTAGAGTTGTAGGAATTTGTCCATCTCTTCTAAATTGTTGAACTTGTTTGCAAATAGCTGCTCATAGTATTCTCTGATTATTCTATTTCTGCTGTATCTGTTGTGATTACATTCATTTATGATCCTATTTATTTGTGCTTTCTTCCTGTTTTTCCTTTGTGAGCTTGGCTAGGGGTTTGTCTATCTTGTTTATTTTTCAAAGAACTTACTTTTAGTTTCATTGATTTTTTGGATTGTTTTCTTGACTTCCATTTCATTTATTTCTGCTTTGACTTTTATTATTTCCTGTCTTCTACTGGCTTTTGGGTTATTTTGTTGTTCTTTTTCCAGTTTTTTAAGGTTGGAGGTTAGGTTATTTCTTTGAGTTGTTTCTTATTTCTTTATGTGAGCCTGTTGTTATATACATATTTTCCTCTTATAACTTCTTTTAAGGTATTCCACAGGTTTTGGAGAGTTGTGTCGTCATTGTTATTCTTCTCAATGTATTTTAAAATTTCTTCCTTGATCTCCTCATTGATCCAATCGTCCTCTAGTAGTGTGGGTTTCAGTCTCCATGTGGTAGGTGGGCTTCTTGCCTTCTTCACATGCTTGATTTCTAGTTTGATTCCTTCATGGACAGAGAAGATAGTTGGTATGATTTTTATCTTAGTGTTTCTATTGATATTTGTCTTATGTGCCGTATGTGGGCAATCCTTGAGAATGATCTATGTGGATTCGAAAAAAAATGTGTACTCAGATTTTATGGGGTGCAGTGTTCTGTAGGTGTCTGTTAGACCCATGAGATCTAGCTCCTTGTTTAGAGCTTTAGTGTCCTTGCTTATTTTTTGTCTTGTTGATCTGCCCATTGTTGAGAGTGGTGTGTTGAATCTCTTACTACGTGTTTATTTTCTCTAATATATGTTTTCATAGATGACAGTAGTTTCCTGATATATTTTGGTGCTCCTTCATTTGGTATGTTGATGAGCATCATGTCTTCTTGATGTATTGTCCCCTTAATCATAATGTAGTGGCCATCTATGTCTCTTTTATCCTTTTTTAGTTTGAAGTCTGTTTTATCAGATTTAAGAGTTGCTGTTCCTAACCTCTTTTTTAACAATGCTTGTTGCATTGCTTCCTGTCCTTTTACTTTCAATCTACTTTTATCCTTTGTAGTTTCCTGGATGTGTTTCCTGGAGACAGCAGAAGGTTGGGTTCTGTTCTTTAATCTAGCCTGCAACTCTTTTTATTGATGACGTTAAACCATTTAGATTTAGAGTTAATATTGATACATTGGCACCTGTATTTATCATTTTGTTTTGACCTTCCATGCTTTTCCCCCCTTGTTTTGATCTGTTCTTGTTCATCCCTCTGTTAGCATTGCTTAAGGATTTTTTTATAGTATTTTTTGTAGTGGGGGTTTTGTCGTGATAAAATTGTGGAGTTTCTGTTTGTCTGAGAATGCCCTTATTTTTTCTTCATAGAGGAAGAAGAGCTTGACAGGATAAAGTATTCTGGGTTGGCATTTGGTGTCTTAGAGTTTGAATATGTCCCTCTCCTCTCTTCTTGCTCATAGTGTTTCTTTGGAGAAGTCTGATGTCAGCTCCTTTGTAGGTTATTGTTAAATCTCTCTTGTCAATCTCATTTTCTCCTTGTCTTGGATTCTTGGAAGCCTTACTATTATGTATATTTCTCCTTTCATCATGGTAATCTGGTGTCCTTCTTGCTTCTTGTATGTCTATTTTCATCTCCTTTGTATTAGGGGAGTTCTCTTCAATTATCTCTGTTAATATTTTCTCCATTCCTTGGCCTTTCTCCTCACCTTCTGGGAGACCTGCAACTCTAATACTTCCTTCCCTCATGGTTTCAGATAGCTCTCAGAGTGTTTCTTCATTCCTTTTCCTTTTAACTTCTCTTTCTGTTTTGATTCTCTTTATTTCTGTGTCTTCAAGGGTTCTGATTCATTCTTCAATTTCATCTATTTTATTTTTACCACTTTTCTCAGAATTTCTTATTTCCTCTGGTAGTCTTTTAATCTCCAACATTCCTTTTATTTCTTTTTTTAAGATATTCATTTTCATTCTTCAATTCATTGATTATTTGTCTCATTTTTTTTTTTTTTTTTTCTTTTTTTTGTTTGTTCATCATGATGATTCTAAAATCTCTGTATGATAGGCTGAGCAGTTCTTCTATACCTTTGTTGATTTCTGGTGACTGATCTTTTTGTGGTGAAATTTTCCCATGGGCTTGCTTGGGTATTTGTAATTTTTGTTCTCCCTGTCATTTGTTTCCTAATGCTTTTTATGTGTTGAGACATTGTGTTGCTAGTACTGGCCGGCATTTCTTCTGGGTGCTTCTTCTGGGGTGACAGAGGATTGGTATTCAGACCAGGTCACGGATTAATGCAACAATCTTCTACAAGGGTGATGGTGTTGTGAGTATGGTGGTGGGTTTGAGTATCTGTATCTGGTGATTCCTTCCCTCTGTATTTCCACTGTTCAAAGGGGGATTGGTGAGATTCCTAGCTTGTGATTGTGATTGGGGGATATACATTGTTGTTGGTAGTCCCTCTGTTACCTGATTTCATTAGGGGGGCTTTGTGCTCCTGTTGGCAGTGGCCCCACCCCTGGCCTGGTTTCCAGTTTGGATAAGTACTATGTGCTAGTAGTGGCAGCTGTGCCACTGCCCAACTTCTAGTTATGGCCATTTACTCTGTGCTACCCATTACTGCAGGGTGACCCTGCAGCTTTTCCAGCTAATGGCTGGGAGCTGAATGCAGGCTGTCACACCCCACCATCATCCAAGGTTCTGGGGAGTGAAAGCGCAGGGCTCCCTGTTTACAGCAGAGTCCTGCCCGTTTCAGCATCCGTGGTCATGCCCTGTTGCAATTTGAGCTAATGGCCAGGAGTTGAGCACAGGCTGTCATACCTTGCCTGGCATCCAAGATCCTGGTGCCCCATTCATGACAGAGTCCTGCCTGTTTCAGCAGCAGAGACACGCCTGGCCAAGGTTAGTGGCTGGTATTGTACATTTGCTGCCACTCCCTACCTGTCTTCCACTATCAGAGAATTGCTATTCAAAGCAGCAGCACTGCCGTTCTGCCTCTGACTTGTCAGGCCCCTGCCCCTCCCCCAGTGGTGGCAAGAAGGCTGAGTCTTCCCCTTCCCACAGGTCTCAACCCTGTGCATCTGTATTAGTCCCACTCCTCTTCATGCAAATCAACCTGCTGACCTTTGTTCCTCCCTCTGGGATTTTCAGATGTTTCAGCTTTCCCAGTTGTTTTCAGGTTTTTTTCTCCTCCTTTTCTTGGTCAAGGTGTTCCGGGTTTGTAGAAGGGGGTAGGGGGAATGGATCCTGGTCAATATCTCCCACTCTTTCTTTTTCTGTTGCTCTCACCTTCCTCCTGCTTCCCTTGGGTTGCCAATCCTGTTCATAATGTCTCACTCTGGGCTGGAGTTTGCTGCAATTTCTCCCTTATTTACTATATCCAAGAGAGAACTTAATTCCAGAATTTAATCTGTGATTCTTCTAGGACATGTTGGTGATGTCATCCAAAAAAAATTTTTTTTCTTATTTGAGATCATTGTACTTGTTACTTCCTTACCATTCACCTTTTAAGAATTACATGTTATTACTCGTTGGCAGAAACACTTTAAACCAACTACAAGACAAGTTTGACTTTTAAACTATTCAGCTGGAAAAAATAATTAGAAGAGTACTTCTAGTCTTTCCTCCCTTGTGTTGGCAGTGGCATGCTTAGCTTATTCCTTAAGGTGACCCATTACTCTTACTTGTACAACTCAGCAGAGAAATCATGACTTGTTTTTAGTGATATACTTTAAATATTACTTTATTTGACATTTTAATTTTTATAGCTGTTTACATTTTATTTTATATATTTTAATTATATTTACTAAGATAATTATACTACTAAACATTTTAGTTTTAATTAATTTAAAAATATGTTTAGTATTTTAAGGCAGGGAGTATGTTCTAGCATTTCTCCCAAGTCTCTCTTGCTAAGGAAATATTTTTTCTTTCTTAAATAATGTCTGTTTTAGTCAATTATGGACTCACTGTGTGGTCTGTGAACCAGAAACATTAGCATCAGGAAGGGGTTTGTTAGAAGTAGAGAATCTCAGGGTACACCCTAGACCTAGTGAATTATGGTCTGCATTTTAACAAGCCCCAGCTAAGAACTGATGTAAATCATTAAGTATTCACAGTTGTTTCTTTTTCAGATCCCTGACCTTACTTTTAAGAGAAATCCTCTCTGGTTCAGTGTTCCTTCCTTCTTTGGATTTCCTGGCAGATCCGGTAAGATTAAAAAACCGTCTTTGTATTTAACTTTGGTAAAATACATGTGAAATACACCCTCTTAAAAATAAAATTTTCTGGGCCCTCCCTGGTGGCACAACGGCTTAGAGCACAGCACTAGGAAGCTAAAGCCACTTCAGCATGAGTTCGAACCCCGCCTGCCCAGGAGGTGACCACATGGCGTGGTAGACCTCTCCTGGTCCACCTACTGCTCCTCTCAGCAGTGTGCTTTGTCGATCTGTGTGATCTGCTCCCCACTCTGTCTCTGGTGAATCCTCTCACCGCCCCTGCACTTCTGGCCTGTACCCCAGTTCTGTATGATTATAAATAAGATTATAAATAAATCTTTAAAAAAATAATGAAATAAAATTTGCCTTCTTAAAATTGTTTTACATGTACAATTCAGTAGTATAAATACATTCATATTGTACACTAGTTACCACTACCCATTTCCAGAACTTTCATCTTACAAAACAGAAACTAGATTCCTATAAAACAATAATTTTCCATTTCTCCTTCCTCATAATACTTGGTAACCTCCAGGGATTCAAGTTTTTATTTTATGATTTATTTATTTATGCATTCAGAACTGGGGTATAGGACAAAGTTTGCAGGGGGCATAAGCAGATTCACCAGAGACAGAGCAGGGAGTCTAACAAGCAGGCTGAAAAGTACAGTGCTGAAGGGGGCAGCAGGCAAGACAGGAGAGGTCTGCTGGGCCATGTGGATTACCTCCTTGGCTGGGATTGATGTTGTGCTGCAGTAGCTGCAGATAGCTTCATAGTGCTGTACTTAACCCATTGTGCCACCAGGGAAGGGCCAAAGATATGTGTTTTCAAGGTTCATCAGTATTGTAACATATGTTGGGATTTCTTCTTCAAGGCTGAATAATCTTCCACTGTAGGTATATACTATATGTTTCTTACCCATCCATCCACTGATGGATACTTGAGTAGCTTTTACTTTTGAGCTAGTAAAATTTTAAAGAAAGGGATTAATTTATAAACATTTTAAATGCCAAAGTTGTGTTAACTTTTACTTTGTCATTTTCACTAAAGATAAGACCCTTCATTGTGGATTTTTTTAAAAATCCCTTTCTATTACATACATAAAGATGCTTTACTGTCGCTCCTTTTTTTTCATTTTTCCAGAAACTTTTTTTGATATGATAAAAAGCTTTGAGAATTCTAAACAGAATACAGTAATGAAGTTATTGTGACCAGAATTTGTTATTTTCCATTAGGATACTGTGAATCATTTACTTCTCATCTTCATGGATAAAAGTCCAGTGAGTATTGAACGTATTAGAAAACACTTCAGATTACATTGAAATTTGATTCCTGTATGTCAAATAAAATTAAACTTTTATTGAATTAAATCTGTTTCTTCAAAGCCTGAAAAAGCAACTGAACCACCTTCCCCTTTGGTTCCATTCTTACAAAAATTTGCAGAACCCAGAAATAAAAAGCCATCTGTAAGTATTTCAGCAACAGCTTATATTACTTTTGATATAAACAATTTTGTTACATATTTTTACAGTGTTAATTTACTCTTCTCCTATCTTGTAATTAGGTGCTGAAATTAGAATTGAAGCAAATCAGGGAGCAACAAGATCTTTTATTTCGTTTTATGAACTTTCTGAAACAAGAAGGAGCGGTGCATGTGTTGCAAATTTGTCTGACTGTGGGTGAGACTTACCTGTGTACTTTATCAGAATCATTTAGCATTTTTAAATTTTATTTACTCATTAAGAATTATTTATTTTTGCGTATAAGAACTGAGGTACGGGCTAGAGGTATGGGTGGATTCACCAGAAATAGAGTGGGGAACAGTACAGGCAAACTGACTGAAATACACTGCTGAGGGGAGCAGTGGGTGAGATAGGAGAGGTCTGCTGTGTGGTGTGGGAATTGAACTGATGCTGCAGTGGCTGCCGAGGCTGAGGAGGGCGTCATAGTGCTGCACTTTAACTCCTTGTCCCAC